CAACATAATTTCACCACCATTAATTTAATAATGGAGTTCTATTATTTTAGTTTTGACTCATTTGAGACGTGCTGTCTCTTAATTACAATCCCTTGCTTCAAGGGAAACACACCTAGATTCCATCATAAACAAATAGAATGTGTGTTCAGTTTTGCGACTGCTCCTAAGTCGAACCTCAAGGTGCCCACGTATCCCTTACGGAAATCAAGAACTAGTAGTTCAAAGAATTGCAATGAATAAATGACTCATTGAATGAGAGGTTTGATTTGAATTGTATTGAGGAGTATTTGAGTGAATTTACCTGAATAAACCAGGGATTCAATATGGAATTGTGTTTGAGGCGAATTTGGCTAAGAATAAACTAGAGATTCTGTTTGGATTTAAGATTTGGGCGGTTGCATCTAATTTGAGTCTCTAGATTGCCTACGTACCATTTTGAATGGATCAAACCAACATAGTTCGAAATTTGGAAATTAAAGGGTAAGTGTGGCCCACTAATTTAGAATTTGTGTCTTTGAGACAATTTGGAGATTTTAAAATTTTCATAGGTAGATGACCAATGAGAAAAATTGGATGGTTTTGTACCATTTTCTTATTGTCAATGTCCAAGAAAAATAATGAGCAATTTTGATGAACCTATTAATTGACATTTGCACTTGGACCCAAATATGATTTTGAGGATTTTAAAATTGATCCATTAACCATATAATAGGTAATTTGAGTCTTTGTAAATTCAACGAGTGTTTATTTGGACCACCCATTAAACATTATTGACTTTTAAGAATTAATGGGAAATTATTTTTGACAACCCATTAATCTGTTTCGAGCCTTTGATAATTGTTATCAGTTAGCCCATGAGCAAGGAGTCTATATTAGAAAAGCTTTGGCACCAAATAGCCAATTGAAGCCAACTCGATAGCTATTCAACTCTTCTAAAGTTTGTTTCTAAGTAAAACCAAACATTGCACTCCCATATTTATCTTGAATACGTGTGACCAATCCAAATTGAGAGCAATCATTGTATCTCTTCAGCCTTTTAAAGATTACACGAAAAGCCACAATTGGTATAGAGCTTTGACAAGCACAAGGAGAAAACAAACAAAAAGGCTGCCCCAAACTATGAAGAGGTGCCAGCCCTTTTTCCCTTATTTTTTTACTTCTTTTTTCTTCTGGCTGACATCTTTTCCTTTCTTCTATGTTGGCCACCATTATTTGTTTTGTCTGTATGCACAAACAAAAGATGATTCAAGCAAGGGTGTGCAATGTTTTTTTTTTTTTTTTTTTTTTTTTTTTTTTTTTTTCGTTGTTCAATTCTCCTATTCCTCTTGCTATTTCTTTTCTCTTCTCTTCTTTTCTTTTCTTTTCTTATGTCTGTTCACACACCAACACAAGATGAGGAATTCATAGAATGATGGGGCTATGCAACGTGCCCTTCCTTTTTTTAGATTAAACCATATTGCCATCTCTTCTTCCTTTTCCTTCTCTACCACACAAATTGGCCTTCAACAATTTTTCCTTTGGTCTTCTTTATTGTTTCTTTGAATCTCAAATCTATTTTTTTTATATGCAAAGCATGCAAGCAAGAACAAATGAGCAGAGGAGACGTCCGTGAATCTCAAATCTATTTTTTTTTATATGCAGAGCATGCAAGCAAGAACAAATGAGCAGAGGAGACGTCTGTGCAACAAAGGGGTAAAGACCCAAGTTCTTCTTTCCTATTTGCTGATTTCGTGGGATTAACTCCCTGAATTTTTTTGTTCTTTGATTTGTGCCCCTTTTAAGGATTCATCATCCACAAAGTGTATGGGTTTTCCATGAAATGGATTCATCATCCATAGAAAATGAGTTTGACCCCAAGTTGGATTCATCATTCATAGAAAATGGGTTTGACCCCAAGATGGATTCATCATCCTTAGAGAGTGGGTTTGAACCCTATATTTAAAAAATAAGGCATGCTATAGAAACAAATCTCCATTACCTGAGCCTTTGTGCTTTCTTGTTAACAAAGAAAACCAGCCCCTTGTATTTCCTCTCTTCCTGTAAAAACTCTGCTGCTGCCACTTCCCACTTTTTTTTTGGGTTGTCACTAGCAAAACATGATGAGCTAGATGAAGCAAGCCACACTTTGAAATTTGAAAGTGCTGATAAGATTTAGCCTCATTTTTAGGCTATTATCCCCTAAAAAAAAGAATATTCTTAATTTTAAATCCTACAATTTTGAAACACAGCATATCCCACAACCTTAGGAATAAATTCTTGCCTATATTATTATTATTTTTTAAGGGTCATAATTTTACTGTGCTTGATTCTTTTTCATATCTCAACAACGTCCAAGATTATCTAGAACATATTTCTAGGGTTTGTTCCTATATCACAGGGATTAGGATCAGATTTAGAGTCCACATAGGTGTACGCTTCCATTTTGCTGCTATAATAATATCTCTCTTAGCTTATTTTTCCTTTTGCCTATTTGTATTCATATAACTTAAAAGGACACACTTATTAGTTGTCGAGAGTTCTGATTCTAGGGTGTTATAATGTTGTCCATAATATATGCATCTATTAAGTACAACTTGTTTTGCAATATCTTGGTCATATCATATATGATCGCATATTTTTTGATTAACACATGAAGATTTCACTTGGTGATGGCGTTTATTCTTTTGACTTTGAAGGAGCTTCCATTTTTTCTTTTGGAATATAGCCATTTTTAAAATGCTTATTCAAAATACTATTTATCTTGAACGTTATTCATCTTATATGAATAATCCAGCTTCTTGATTGAATGTCATACTTCATATCATCATCATATGATCTTATTATAATCAAGAAAGTTACTTATTAACTTTCACCATTATTACATGGTTGGTGTAATACACCATATGTGATCAAACCTTAGCCCCCAACATGATTTAAGTAAATAGTTTCCGCATTTGAATAGTTGATTCGCATGTTTTATGGCTAAAATTAAATTGAAAGTTTTTTATATACATGTTTCTTTCAATTAGGATCATCGTAAAAAAAGTAGCTACATTCTCCACTCTCGGAAGTTGTTTAAATTCATCAACACCTGCTTGGTACCTCGAGTACAAATGCGTTACCTTGCATATGTCACTTTATTTATGTCACATCTTAGAAACTGGTGGAATATGATGATTCCTTGGTTGAAGGTCATATTTAATATCATCATCATATGATCTTATTATGATCAAGAAAGTTACTTATTAACTTTCACCATAATTACATGGTTGGTGTAATACACCATATGTGATCAACCTTAGCCCCCAACATGATTTAAGTAAATAGTTTCCGCATTTGAATAGTTGATTCACATGTTTTATGGCTAAAATTAAATTGAAAGTTTTTCATATACATGTTTCTTTCAATTAGGATCATCGTAGAAAAAGTAGCTACATTCTCCACTCTCGGAAGTTGTTTAAATTCATCAACACATGCTTGGTACCTCGAGTACAAATGCGTTACCTTGCATATGTCACTTTGTTCATGCCACATCTTAGAAACTGGTGGAATGTGATGATTCCTTGGTTGAAGGTCATACTTCATATCATCATCATATGATCTTATTATGATCAAGAAAGTTACTTATTAACTTTCACCATAAATACATGGTTGGTGTAATACACCATATGTAATCAACCTTAGCCCCCAACATGATTTAAGTAAATAGTTTCCTTATTTGAATAGTTGATTCACATGTTTTATGGCTAAAATTAAATTGAAAGTTTTTTATGTACATGTTTCTTTCAATTAGGATCATCGTAGAAAAAGTAGCTACATTCTTCACTTTTGGAAGTTGTTTAAATTCATTAACATGTGCTTGGTACCTCGAGTACAAATGTGTTACCTTGCATATGTCATTTTGTTCATGTCATATCTTAGAAACTGGTTGAATAGGATGATTTCTTGGTTGAAGGTCATACTTCATATCATCATCATATGATCTTATTATGATCAAGAAAGTTACTTATCAACTTTCACCATTATTACATGGTTGGTGTAATATATCATATGTGATCAACCTTAGCCCCCAACATGATTTAAGTACATAGTTTCCGCATTTGAATAATTGATTCACATGTTTTGTGGCTAAAATTCAATTGAAAGTTTTTTATATACATGTTTTTTTCAATTAGGATCATCGTAAAAAAAGTAGCTACATTCTCCACTCTCGGAAGTTGTTTAAATTCATCAACACATGCTTGGTACTTCGAGTACAAATGCGTTACATTGCATATGTCACTTTATTCATGCAACATCTTAGAAACTAGTGGAATAGGATGATCTGGAGACAGATGAACCTACAAAACAAGAATTCATTAATATACACATATCATATAGAAATAAACTGCGAACAAATATTAATAAATTCATACCTGGATATAGTGATCATCATCGATAAAACCAATGCCAATTACACTTAGGTTTGTATCTTGAATAAAACATCAAGGGAAGCCAAAATAGAATAGACCATGCATCTTTTCTTAAATAATAGTTTTCGGATTTTATAAAAAAATTTTCTTTCATTCTGCAAATGCTTAATATCCCATATCTCATGAGTGGCTAGATCCCACCACTACCACTTTAAAGTGTTTTTCATTCCTTTTTATTTATTTATTTATAAACTTTTCATTCCTTTACTTGTAAGTGCTTTTTTTTCCCTAATAAAATTAGACCATAACTCATAAGCAAAACAATCCTATTTATTAGGAAAATAACACATGTGATTTTTGTTTTCAATTTAGACAATTGATCATGTACATATATGTAAGCAAATGTCATTTAATAGTTTTTAGATTTTATAATTTTTTTTTCTCATTTGGTAGATGTTTAATATCTCTCATATCTCTTGAGTGGCCAGATCCCATTAGAAAAAGCACTTTTGTAGTGTTTTTTTTTTTTTTTTTATGATGAATAAGGGGGACAAACCCCAAAAAGAAACAACAACTAACTAGTACAGATCAAGCGAGACCTAACAACTCCTAAAAAATCATCCTCCAAAAAAGAGCTAACCCAAGTAGGGGCCTCATCCAAAAATCCAAGTTAAAGCTCCAGTTAGCAATACGAACAGCTACAACATTCATTTCTCTGTAAACATGAGCAAGGTGACAGTTGCCAATACGCCTCATAAGAGCACAACAACTCTGAATTAACACAACAAAAGGATGACAACTTAAGGTACCAGCTTGTTGAACAAGGGAAACAACAACTACAACATCCATCTCAACAAGAAGATTAGAGATACCTTTATCACAAGCCAAATGCAGCCCAAAATACAAGCCCCAAAGCTCAGCCTCAAGGATCTGCCCCTTGCCTAGATTCACTGCAAAACCACATATCCAATTGCCATTAGCCCCACGGATCACTCCGCCAGCACCAATACAAGCTGAGGCTGCTCTCCTAGAACCATCCACATTCAGTTTAAACATACCTAAACCAGGAGGCTCTCAACTTAGTAAAACTTGAGCTTTAAGACTCATCTTAACACCCACCTGAGAAGCCTTGACCCCAATCTCTCACAGCCATTGGGAGTCTTAACAGGGTCAACAACAGACTCATCAAGAGGGAGAAAAATATGCTTATTCCTCCATTTCCACAGGTACCAACAAGTAAAAACAAACACAACTGACCAAGGCAGACCACCACCCCATTTAGCTTTAGAAAGCAGATTAACTTTAAGCCAATGTATGAAATCCTGCTTAAAAAATTGGGAGCAAAAACAAGAATAGAAAAAGCATGCCAAACACTTTGAGCCCTTTCACAGTCACGAAAAATATACAACACAGATTTCACAGGCCAATCACATAACCCACAAGAAGAATCAATAGCCAGCTGACGCCTCACTCTATACTCATTGGACAAGATTTTACTTTGGGATGCAAGCCAAAAAAAGGTTTGCAACTTGGGAGGAATTTTCAGTTTCCAAAGGAAAGCCCAGCTAGACTCAGGCCAAGAAGGACCAACAAAGAACAACTTATAAGCAGTCTTAACAGAGAAAACACCATTAGAAGAAGCGTGCTAAATTTGAGTGTCAAATAGAGAGCCATGAACACCCACCGGAATACTCACAATTTTTTGAACTAAATCCTCTGAAAGAGCTGCTCTTAACTTGGATATATCCCACCAATTATGAAGAAAAAAGCTCGAGACCACACAGTCAGCATCACAAATATTCAAAACACCATCTTGATGCAGCAAGGGTATGTCACTACACCAGTTATCTTTCCAAAATTTTACTTGATCACCCAAACCAATCCTCCACCTCATACCTTTCAAAAGCAGCTCCACACCGTGAACAATACCTTTCCAAGCGTGAGAACTAGACTTCTTGGCAGAGTTAGGAGAATCCAAAATAAAGGCACCGTTTAAGTACTTAGCCTTAAAAATCTTAGCCCATAAACCATTGTCTTTATTCTGAACCCTCCACCCAATTTTAGATAACAACGCTTGGTTCATTGCAGCAGTTTTTTTGAACCCTATTCCCTCTTTACATTTAGGCCTACAAACCAAATCCCTTTGGCAAAGATGGACCTTATTTTTCTCCTCCTTGCCTCCCCAAAAAAAATTACGATTCAAACGATCTAGATGCTCACAGACACTAGCAGGAAGTTTAACTGTTTGCATAGCATAGATGGGAATGGAAGAGGTCACAGCTTGAACAAGAGTAGCCCTACCAGCAATAGATAACAGCTTGCTTTTCCAAGAAGCCAAACGGTTGGTCACTCGATCAATCAACCCATTATAAGTAGTATGACTAGTCTCAAGTCTCCCTTTATGACCATATTTTCCACACAGAAAACAAATCTCAGGCAGCCCCTCATATTCAACATTATACCAGTTTTGATTAATTTGGACAAAAGCCTCTAGAGGCTGGGTTAGATCAAGTTCCACACAAAGCCTAGCAAACTTACCCCGATTTTGAGATGTGGTTAGAGAATCAATTTTCAAGAGCTTGCCCAATAAATTGCCAATTCTCTTCAAAGACCGCACATCAAAACATTCCAACTGTAAAGCAGACACCCTAATCCAAGCAGTTATCCTAGTAATCTTAGCAGTAGCTGGGCAAAATTCAGGCCTCCATTTATGCATCACCAAATACTGCCCTGCAATAATCCAAGGCCCTCTAGTGAGAACAAAATTCAGATCCTCCTCTAGCTCAAATTTCACCACAAAATAATCATTGACTAAATCCACCAATTTTCAGCCCCCTTTGAGACTCCATTTTTGTTGCAATCTCGCATGAAGATAATTATAAGTGTGTGATCTTCCTAACAGCTTGATAATCAGAGCATTCTTCCAAGGCTTACACAATCGATCCATAGCTCGTTTAGAGAACTGGATGCTTGGACCACGCTCCCCACGAGCAACTACAACATTCATTTCATCATTGAGATCATCGTAATTTGCCTCAAGGCTGCTCATATCAATTCCCACATTTTTGGCTAAATTGACCGTATCCATCAACTTATCCCTAGAGCTCATAGATCCAAATCCAGATCTACCTTCCATCACTGGGCCATCAACAAAACCTGAATTCTGCATCGGAGTATGATCGGAAGCATCTTCCATACCATACTCAGGAACACGATCCTCCGACGCTCGGACTTTCTTCGTCAATCTTGAGCTCTTAAATAGCACACCAGGTGAACCTTCCTCCATACTCAAATAAGGCTTAGAGAACACACAACCAGTAACGAAGCAAGGATGCACCCAGAAACCGCCGCGTACGGCAGTTTCTAGACGACAAAGAACGAAACCTCTCGACTCTGTGAAAGTAGAATTTCACCGCACGTGAGGCGCGTTCTCAAAAGCTATTCTTAACAATACTTAAAAGTGTTTTTCAATTTTTTTTCTAATAAAATTAGACTACAACTCAAAAGCAAAGCAATCCCAACTATTAGAAATAATACATGTGATATTTGTTTTCAATTTAGACAATTGACCATGTGTACATATATGTAATCAACTTACTTAAACATTGTTGATGAGTCATCCCAAAATTTTAAATTAGATTTCCAAATTTCTATTAATGCCAATATTATCCTTGAGCTCTTCATTTGTATATAGTCTTTTGCTCTTGCTATACTCAATGTCTTTTTATGGAGTACATGGGTATTAGTTATATATTTTTAACTTATCTTACAACACATACGTTTTTTTTTGGATTGTTTCAATATTTTCATTCGTTTTCTTTTCCTTGAAAAAACAAATTGAGATTTAAGGTGGGCTATTTTAAGTTGTTAGGGTGTAGTTGAATAAAGCTGCATTGCTTGTGTTTGCGTTTTTGCTTCATTTTAGTAGCAATATATCGGAGTTGTGTATGATACATATGATAGAGGTCATCATTTTGAGTGTATAGAAGTTGCTTGATTTTAGTCCCATGAAGAATATATAGCTAATCACTAGCTAAATTGGACATGTTGCAACAACACCCCATTATATCTCAGGGTATATGGTAGCATCAAAGTAACGGAGATGACGATATTTCATCAACAAACATCTACGTTGTCGGGGATCAAGTAAAATTCTTGAACATGCCCACTAACTAATAATGTTATTCAATTTGTGAACATGATCCGCTCATTTTTCCAGCTTAGCACAATTCATTTGAAATTATACATGTTTCTCAATTACATAGAAATCAACAATCAAAACTTGTAAGCAAAATACTATTCATTCTTAACTTATTCACCTATTCCATTTAAATTTATTCTTATAAATTGAACTTGATTAATTCTTTTTTTCTTTTATGTACAATAGGAAAACACTCAAGCAATAGATAAAACTTCCAGATTGGAAATTATGTGGAGTTTCAACTTCCCACGATCCAAACTCACGTAGAAAACGGATTGGTTGCTCAAGTTCCTAACTTGGAAAACTAGATGAACGAGGTTGCACAAGTTCAACAAACTCTTTAAGGGTATAAGAGATGTTATGAGGCGATGCACTATCGGACATTAAAAAGGTATAAAAAAGGGAGTGTCTTTAGCTTGTGCCGTAGAATTCATGAGTGTTAACTCTTGATCGGTGACAATTACACCAAGAAGACAATTATCATCCAACAACCTCCTCAATCTTGTCAAAGCCCATGTGGAAATGGCCCAAAAATCTCAATATTTATGGGGTAAGTCCAAAACAAGTCCGTTACAGTATCACCAGATGTCATATGTCACTCAATATAATTTTGTTCGGACAACTTAGTAAGCAATTGTTGCATTTTGTGTTCTCTTAACAAATTCTTTGGTTCTATGTTTGATCCTAGCATTGTATATTGTCTTCATAGTTGAAACATTCATTGCATCTCTATCCTTCTATGGATTTCACCAAAGTCTTATACATGTCCACCAATAAAGCATTCTCTTCTTCAGAAAGTCGCCGTACAAATGAATGACCTTGAAGATACTTCGAAATAGCATAGCTATATACTCCGCAAACCATCTCCAACTTCCAATAATCTTTATCACCAGTATTGACACCCTTTAACAAGAATTATACATTTCTTGGTACTAGTGTCCCTTGAATGCTTTTTAGTATCACCATTTGCATCCAACCTTACACCATTTGTCTCACTAGACTTGCAAGGCTCATATTTACTGTTCCTCTCACAAGCAAGTATTACTCAAGGCCTTCTCAACCTCTTGCCCTGACCTCTAGAATCAAATCTTCTAATAACAATTACAATATTATGTGCACGAGACCATCTAATTAATGCATCCCTACATTTGATATTCTACATATTACATTCAAGTTATTTGAAGTTAAAATTTGAAATATTAATGCCACGTTAATGATACTATAAATGAAGTAAAAATAGATACTTAGAATGATTGCTTCATAAGTTGTGAATTGATCACTATATAGTCCATTACACATTCTATTCCATCATTGTTACCTTTAGTAGCAACGTAACCTTGATTTTGTTCCTTCAATAAGAGTAAGGTCAAAATAGCATGCATTAAATTTGTGGTCGACAAGAAGTTATTAATAAAACCAATATACTTCGGTGTGTCGCCATCGAATAATACATAAAAGTCAATCATACGATACCGAACCCCTTTCCATTTTACAGTGTAACTCCACCATATCTTTAGTTAAAGGCCGTGACTAAATTATACATTTCATTAAGGTAATGATTTTAAATGTCATTGACCATAATTTTGTAATTAAAAATGTGTGGAGAAGCTCAAAGTCTATTGTGGAAACTTTCTTTGTTGAATTTTTTGGTGTTAATTAATAGATAGCTGAAACACATTGTCATCTAGAAATAAAATAAGCTTTAACATAAACAAACTTTGACAAAGAGGTAATAAAATTATAGTATTGCATTCTCTTCAGTCTTGTTTGTCTTCCAAGATGTAAAACCAATTATAGATCTTGATAGGATTTACAATCACAATTTGGTTTCTCATATGTTTTCAATCTTAAGTACTAATTTCATATTTTAATTTATTTTAGATGCTTCAAGATGGTCAATTTATCATTGTAAGTGCTTTATATTTGTTTTTTATTTACTATAATTGATTTGATTGATTGATTGTTTTTATTTATTTAGTTTAATGATTAATCTTTTAGCTTAAAGGCGATCAAGTTAACTATTATACGGATGATGTGCAAATTAAGCATTACAAGTTTAAGGGAATAATAATGGAATCCATTGGTCGCCAATATGAGGCACACTATCATCTGTTTTATCCAAATCCAGATAAAGAATATATAACTAATTACTCGCTAAATTGAACATGTAGCAACAACAACCCACTATACCTCAGAGTATATGGTAGCATCAAAATAATGCTAGGTGTGAATATGTATACGCTTGTATTCACAGAACCTAGTATGACCCTCAAAGATTGGATTTCTCCAAATTAATTGCTAGACTAATGTTACCATTCCTAAACTGATACGTTTAAGATCATGTTGTTATAAGTTATCTCTTCCATTTACTTATATATTCACTTAGTGTAAAAAAAAGACAAAAATAAAAAGTATTGTTTCTTGCTACGAAAAACAATATTACCGCTATATATATCTTTTAATCTTCTAATTTTGTTTTCGTGGGGATATTATGTAATTCATTATTTCCAATAACAGAGACGGTTATATTTCATCAACAAACATCTACGTTGTAGGGGATCAAGTAAAATTCTTGAACATGCGCACTAACCAATAATGTTATTCAATTTGTGAACATAAACCGCTCCTTTTTCCCCGCTTAGCACAATACATTTGGAATTAGACATGTTTCTCAATTACGTAGAAATTAATCATTAGAACTTGTAAGAAAAATGCTATTCATTCTAAACTTATTCACTTGTTTAATTATTTTTTCTTTTATGTACAATAGTGGAGCACTCCAACCTATTCCATTTAAATTTAATCTTATAAAGTGAACTTGATTAATCCTTTTTTTCTTTTATGTACAATAGAAAAACACTCAAGCAATTGATAAAACATTCATTACTTAAGAGTACAGAAGATATGGTGGCTTATAGAATACAGGTTGGAAATTATGTGGAGGTTCAACTTCATGTGATCCAAACTCATGTAGAAAACGGATTGGTTGCTCAAGTTCCTAACTTGGCAAACTTGATCAACGAGGTTGCACAAGTTCAACAAGCTCATTAAGGGTATAAGAGGTGTTATGACACTACACCAAAAACTAGATATGACAATGCAAAAAACTACAACGTGCGGTTTGAACGTTGTTGAAAATAGTAATCAACAACGTTCATTTAGCACTAGTCGTCATATCCTATTACTAAATATCATTTCACAATGTGCAAATATGATGTTATTAAAAATTGATAGCACTACGTTTATGTGTACGTTGCGAAATACTAATTTACATATACAACATTCTCGTGCACGTTGTGGTTTATGTTAAACATATACAACGATCATATGCGCGTTGCAAAATACTGCAATGACAAACAACGCACTGAAATGTGTTGTGAAATACTAATGTTGGGGTACGCGTCGTGGTTCATATTAAACAATACCACATTTCTGAAAATGTTGCCAAAGTATCTACTAAATACCATGTTCATTTGAATGTTGTTAAATCTAATAAATAAAAGGGTATACTAGTGATTTGCCCCATCAACTTGTACTTAACTTTCGATTTCCCCCTATCTTTTTTTTATTTATAGAAAATTAAGGATATGAACATTTTTTTTCCGCCAATTTCCCCCTTGCCGTCTAAATCCGCAACATTTCATCCAATTTTCCGTTAAATATGAGGGTAAAATAGTCATTTTGTACATTAAAAATAAATAAAAAATGAAAAATAAAATAAAAAATAGAAAATTAAAATAATAGTCATAAAATAAAATTGAAAATTATATATATATATATATATATCTCTCTCTCTATGGTAGGAGTGGGTCTATTGCTGCCGCGCAAGAAGAGGGGAAGGATAGTCTCGGTTTGGGGGTGGATCTCACGCAGCAAGGCCTGGGGCATTGATGGGTCTGCGCCTGGGGGGGCAAGGCTGGGGATGGGATGGGTCTTGGGGGCAAGGGCTGGGGTTTTAGGGTTTAGGGTTGATGGGGTTGTTGGAGGAGATAGAGCTGGGGGAGGTGGTTGGCGATAGGGTTGCGGGTTGGATTCTGTGGGTGGGGGTGGGTATGTTGTCGCCGCCTTAGAGGAAGGGAGGGATGAGTCCGGGTTTAGGTATAGATCTCGAGAGGGCTGCTGAAGGGGATATAGCTAGGGGAGGGGGGTTGACAATAAGGTTGCTAGTGGAGAGGAGTGGCGATAAGTTTGGTTTAGTGCCTTTTTCTTTTTCTTCTTCTTTTTTGTTGTTGTTGTTGTTGTTGTTGTTGTTGTTGTTGTCAATTTCCTATTTTTCTTCAATTTTTTTTCCAAAAAAATAAAATTTTAAAATGATTTAACTGAAAATTGAATGAAACGTTGAGGATTTAGACGGTAGGGGGAAATTGGCCCAAAAATAGAGTTAATATCCTTAATTTTCTATAATAATAATAAAAAAAGGATACAGGGTGAATCGAAAGTTATGTACAAGTTCAAGGGGCAAATCACTAGTATATCCCAAATAAAATAGAAATTATTATGCAAATACGTTAAAGCATTTCAAACCCAAAACCAAATGTCAAAAAGTTGGCGCCAAACTCAAATTCCAAAAGCAAAAAATGGCGCTTAACCATAAAAATCAAATGCCAAAAGAACTCGCAGACTGAAATCCCAAATGCCAATCGAGCGGCAAGAGCTCACGCCATAGTGGCATTCGTTGGTCTCTCTCTCCTTACTTCTCCTCACAAACTCTTGTGAGATCCAAACACCAAATTGTGACATCCTCTCTTCGAAAATTGAAAATCAATTGTGAATTGGGCCGAGCCCTAAATCCAAACAGCAAATTATCTCTCCTGCAGTGCTCTGCTACCTTATTTTCTTAGTGAGTTGAGTTATTTTTCTTTACTTTTTTAGATGTTATTTGGTTTTTAAAAATTCATTGAAAATCTACCCATACTCTCTGTTTGACATTGTTGCTTTTTGTATTTCTTAGTTTTGAAATAGTGGGACACAGAAGAATCCATAGAGAGAAACAAATGTATTTAATTTTTCTTAGTTTTTATTTTGTTTATTTTCTTTTTTTCTTTTGCATTTTTCTTAGTTGTACTGGTTTCTTCATGACATTTTGTTTCCTTTTGTTTTCTAACTGTCCCTGCTTAAGAAATGGTATGGTTTTATAGATTATGGATCTCAGAGATAAAATTGGTATGCAAATCTGTTAACAAACAAGTATTACTCGAGGTCTCCCCAACATCTTGCTCTGACATGCAGTTTATATATGTTTTGCCTGGATGGGCGAGTCCTTAGAGATGCTGTGACTAGGAGAAATGGATTGAAAGTCCCTAACGGTAAAATTCAAAAAAATTATTAAGTAAATTGAACTTCTTATCATTTAAATTATGAGAAAAATAAAAATATAACATTTTAATTTCTTCTTAACAATACGCTATTACTACTTAGTTGATGGTGGCTACATAAATGTAAAAGGTTTTCTTGCACCTCTTAGAGGACAACGTTATCATCTCAACGATTGGAGAGATGGATACCGACCTACAACATCGACAAAGCTTTTTAATATGAAACACTCAAGCGCTAGGAATGTCATTCAAATTTGTTTTGGACTATTAAAAATGTGGTGGGCAATTCTTAGGAGTTCATCATTTTATGACATTACAACACACGCCGTATAATTTTAGTGTGTTGTGTGCTACATAATTTTATAAGAAGAGAGATGCTTGTAGATTCTATGGAAAATAATATGAACACTCAATTGCAAGATGAGAATTTAGAAGCGAATTACTATATTATCATTATTGAGTCCTCATATGAATAGACTATATAGAGGTAATGACAGGAACCGCCTCGAATTCCTTAGAATTCGTGACAGATCATGTGGTTTTTCCAACATCCAACCGATGCTGTGCCCAGTTACTAATTTCAAACATCATCTTCCCCTAAAATAAAGGAAAAAAGGGCCGAGACTTCTACCGAAATTTCGGCAAAGTCTCCCCTGAAAAACGGACTTTACCAAATTTTTCAATATGTCAAAAACACAGTTTAAAATCACCAAACTTCAGTATACATAAAGTACATTATACACAACAAACAAATAGGCCTTCGGCCTCATAACCAAACATTTTCTAAAACATTCTTGCTTTTGAACTCCTTTGTAAATCCATACGTGCGTAACAATTATCGTAACAGAAATAAGAAAAGACCTTTCTTCTTCCATAATTCATTTCCACATTTAGAACAATACAAGCACAGCTCAAACTGTTTATTTTGTGGCTGCACCTAAGTTAAACCCTAGGCTACCTATGTACCCCTTTGTAAGGGATCAAGCCACACATAGTTCTTATGACAAAAATAATCACAATTTAGAAATATACAGATATTGTCCAATTGAAACCCACAATTAAATTTAGATTCATTTTCAACTTCAATTCCCATAAGGCATATAACTAAATATCTTAACCACTCATTTCTTTCCATGACTCAACTCAAAACCATTTCCTTGTAAAAACTCACAAGTACTATGCATAATTCAACTAACCACACTCTGAAACTCAAGTTACTTTTCCAAAATCATTTCTTTCCCACAACCATACCCTATCCAAGGCGTATGTTGTAAAACAACACTGTCCAAACATCAAAACAAAAATCACACCTGTGCAGAGCACTCATTATGCACATGCTCAAGAAACCCAACCCGAAAACGAATCCCTATTTTCCCATATATATAAATATTTACACACACTCCACACCATTATCATGTACCAAGGGAAATCAATCCATCATGAGGATTGTTTGACTAAAAAATATGGAAGAATCCTTAATTGACCATGTAGCTAGGGAACGAGCCGTCCAACTGAGAGACCAGGCTCACCAGCCCGCACAGCAGAATCCTCAATACTCGTGCTTCTATAAAAAGTCCTACGCGCGTAGACTGCTCGCCCAAGGACCTACGAAACACCCTACTTTTGGAAGAATTTTGATACTTTGAATTATATTTTCGATATAGGACTTTTGATTTCCTCTGGAGCAAAACATAATCAAATGGATGAATTTTGGAGTAATTCCTATTGGAGGACGTTCGTGAGTCACTTAGCTTGATCGTATTGAAATATCAAATTTTTCTACCAAGCAGTTATTTTCTAGCAATAAAATAAGGGAGTTTCACTAAAACACCCAAAATGGGGGTTGAAATTATAAAAAAACCCAAGCACTATTTAAACATATAAACACACCCAAAACCCATCATTACATACACTCAAAACCCATTTATAAACACACCCAAAAGTTGACTTTGGGGTTGATTTTGGGTGTGTTTCTATGTTTAAATAGTGCTTGGGTTTTTTTATAAATACATGTCTAGGATTGGGTTTATTTATAAATTTGTAATAAAATAAAGGAGCAGTGCGCAGTGCTGGAATAGTGACGTTTAGGACTTTTATTGCGTTTTGAAGCCCAAGATGATCTTGGATGGGTTCATGGCCTTCTGGAGAAGTGTTCAGAATATTTTTATCTTTAAAACAAGCTATCTTGGGCCGGATTTGGAGGAGATTTGAGGCCAAAACGTGGCTGGGCAGATCGTGGGCAGATTCTCCTAATCCAATTTGGACTTTATATCCTAGTATTATTTTTTTTTAACTTAGTTTCCTTGTGGGGATTGGGCAGCTGGGTTTTAGGAGGTATTTAAGTTCTTTCTCACAACAATTTTAAGATTTCTTTTTGGCTTTTGAACGTGACATTGTGGAGAGCAATTGCTAGGGTTTTGGAGTTTTTGTGACTTTAAGGTGTTTTCATTCTTTTCTTTCTTAATAATATTTTCCATGATTTCAGTTATCAATATGCGTAACTAATTTTCTTTTACTAGGGTGAAGCCTTAAACCTTAGCATGAATATGTAATTTTTATTTCATTGCTTATGATTGATTGCATGCATACTTTGAATTGTTAATCACTGTTTAAAACTATCTAATTGTCTTAATGCTTGATCACCATTAGGATATTTAGAAAAGTAATTAGATGCAACTTTGGTTGGAAGGTTCCCTGAAAGTGATGCTGGCTTCTTGTGATTAAGAATTGTAATTTCACTTAAGATGAACACCACGTCTTAAGGGTTGCATGGTTTTTCAAAGGGTTTTCACAAAACTTAATGAGTCTTTCATGTTCAAATTTGATCCGAACGTCCGGGCGTGTTGCATGTTGGATATAAATTCTATGCTTACTTATATGTGTGTAGTCTAAAAAATAGGCAAGTGGTTTGTATGATAAGCCATTTCCACACTACTATCTCTTGGGAGAGATATATGGAAAAGATCGTGATGTAGGTGCAAACTCTGGTAATGAGGATGATGATGAAGAAGAACTTAGGCAGGTCACCATTTGAGGGCTTGATGATTTTGAAGCTTATTTTACACAACCAAATACCCAACAATACAGGCCCATACATGGTACATCAAGTGTTGCTAATAATAGTCGTAATAATAGGCCAAAAGTTGTGGACGAGATGACTAAGCAATTTTCTTTTGTGGCATAAACTATAGCAGGAGTGGGCAGGAGTGGGATCTAAGCTTGATGATCTAGTTCATGTCCTCTCAACAGAAATAAATTTGACTGAATTGCAAGAGAAAATTCATGGTGAGTTGAGCAACATGGAATTTTTCACTTCCTTGCAATTGTTTAAAGTGACAAACTTTTTGGCTAAAGAACATGATTTGCTAAGAGTTTTTTTTTCACCATGCATGATGAATTAAAAAGAGAATATGTAACTACTTTTTTGCAAACTTGGGCGCAACAAATAGATCTTTCGTTGACATCATACTTTTAGGAACAAATCATGACCATTTTGTTGAGCTCATGAATCGTTTGAAGATACTATGATATTTTTGGGTAGATTATGACTATTTAGTTGAGATTATGACTCTTGTTGAGATTATGACCCTTTTGTTGACAACATGATGTTGTATTGATCGATAGGTTCTCACATGATGTATTTTGATATATTTCTAATGTGATGTAAAAGATTTGTATATTATGCTTGTAGAATTTGCTACTG